TGTTATTGCATTACTGCAAATTTCTTTTTCTAATACAGTTTAAGAGTGTTTCTCAAACCATCAGTTTTATACTCAAGGTGCTACTGTTAATTTTTCATATTGATATTAATATTATTTCACAACATCATGCCATTCTACTAATAGGTGTTTTTTGAAATGTACAATATTTGTGCATAAAAAACATGAAGGAGTTGAAGTTTCTGCTATCGTCATTAATACTTCCATGTTATATACCAAGCAGGCATGTATTATATCTGAAAAGTTATATGTAGGGCCATTTTCATACAAATCATACGCATTCCTAATGATAACAGCATACACTGTTTTCTCATCATTGAAGCACACATATGTTTAACTTTGAAATGCATTGCCAGAAGAATGCTTCTGAAAAAAATCCCACTGCAGAGAAAATCTCATCAATTGCAGCTTTTTTTCTACTGTATACTTTATGAATTGCCTCATCATAATTAACTCCAACCACTGGAATTAATTACTCCAGATGATCTGGAAATTGGCCTTCTTGGTTGTTCTGAAATTCATGAGATTATTCCACAAAGTGGGGGGAAAGGGTTTGAAGAAAGGAAAAACTCTCTTTGAGAACCTGACCACATTTTAGAAGGCTGATTTTTCAAAAAGTAGGAATATTGGTGCCTTTGGGCACATTTTGTTCCTTTTTTTACTTTCATTACATTATGGCCATTTGAAGCTGAACAAGGTCAGGATAAATCGATAGTTGGGGCCCCTTATTCCATACAATTGGAAAGGGAGTCTAAAATTGTGGGTGAAGGAGCAAAGGTCATAGATGAGGGTCTGTTGAGCAATAAAATAAGAACAACAATTTCTTTTATAGGCCTTTCATATAGAATCCTACATGGCACCAATGGATAAGGGGTGTAGTATACCTTGAAAATGAACACTTAGTTCAAATATACTCTGAATTATTCCTTTAAGGAAACTTTCAATCGACCCATCCCACTTTGTCTCAGTTGATTTCAGATATGCTATGCACAATCCTTTCTCTCTAAATTTTCTCTAGATAGAAGATAAGCAGGTATATTCACAGGAAAACAGATTACTTCCTATGTCAGAATGTGGTCAGAAAATTGTAATATAATTGATTGCTTTGTACTTTTTTCTTCATCAGAGAAATTTTTATCTTTTAAATAAAATACATTTCCAAAACAAAAGAAAAGTCATTGGGTTAAAAACAAAAATGAAGAAGAAATTTTATATTCTGTCTCAGAGTTCTTGAGACTTAACTAGAGAAAAATTCTGAACATAAAAATTGAGGGCTAGGATTTCCCAGGCTAACGCATACCTTTATAAAGCAGCAAACATTAGAGAAATGGGAAAACATGAATAAATGAAAAAAATGAAGCAGATTTAATCACTGTTTTCCCACATCTTCTATATGAGCTGAGCACTACAGCACAGTAAAAAGCAATGCAGAATGTTACTGAAACTTCTTAGAAGCAAATGCCAAGGCAGAACTAGAAATGCAAGATACTTATTGGGGACAATGCCTATAAAAGATAAAGGGGATAAGAACAATTGCCTTGCACCACTGGACCAGTGATGCATTTGTCTGAGTACCCCTGGAAGTCAGCCCCGGATCCCCAGCTAGTGAGAGCCATTTAGGTAAACTTTCAGAGTGTGATGGAGTCTGATGTCTGTTTGACACTATGGAAGGCCTGAGGAAGAAGCAGTGTTGAGTCGGAAAAGACTCAGGATGCAAGGTTGATCTGAAAAAGTCAAACTAATGGGAATCTCCCACAGAATGTGTTCCCAGAGAGTATTCCAAGAATGGGGAACATACTACCATTTTGCTCAGTTGTGATTGAATTCAGATTTTCTCTGGAAGATTGCTGAATGACAGCCACCCATCCTCACATCTTCACATGCTTGAGCAGATAATGATTCCTCGGGAGTGGGGAGGATGGAGGTGTGAGGGGGTTTTCATGGATTGAAATTGAAATTAAAATTTCATTATTACGTGCGGCCCATCAGACCTTTCTACCAGTATGTCCACATTTAGATAGACTATTTCCAAATGACTTTCCAATTACTTTCAAAATTCCTTTGTGAAAATTTCCAAACTTAATCAAGTCAAAAGTGCATTATAAACAGGTTTGAAATTCTCCCAGGTCACAGGTTATCTATCCTTAGCCCCACTGCCCCACTTGAAGCACTAAATGAAAACAACTGTTTTCAAAAACAAATAATTGCAAAGAATTCCCTTCTTATGCAGAAATGTATTCTCTCCCCTGAGTAACCATAGGACATTTACTCAACCTTGATTCTTCTCACTGATTTTGTCTCCCCACAGAAAAGCAACTTCATTTTTTGTCCTGCTGATTTGTTTTAATCAAATTGCTCAGTGATATAAAACACAAAATAAAGGAAGATGAGTTTTGCTTGCGTATACTGGAAGTGTTCTGGAACTCTTGAAGTCTGATTCCCTCTTCCCAGGCTGGGTCTTTGTGAGTGGGAGACCTTCACTGCTGCTAGCTCTACAGAGCACAACCCACCCAGACCAATACAGAAGCAGGCCTGATTCCCAGGTCCTGCCTTCTGTGTACCCTTAGACTACTTGAAAATGACTAAGGCAAACAGATAAAAATTATTTCTGTTGGTCAAAATTTAAATCCACCTTATTAACATAGTTTTTAAACTATGTACACAGCATTTTTGTCCAACGTTGGAAAATGAAGTGTCTTCTAATGAAAACTTGACCTCTCACCTCTGCTCTGAATCCCAAACTTTTGTGCCCAACTATCTGTTCAACATTTTCCTCTGATGAGAAACCAGTAGAAAAAGTCATCTCAGACTTATTATATCCATAAACATGTGCCTTTATCCAGTCTTGTCACACTTGGTGAATTAGACTAAGTAATGTTCTGATCAAAAACTTTGAACCCACCCTCTATTACTCTTTATTTGAAGGGGTTGGGTAGGGACTACATCCATCAGTGCTCAGGGCTTATTCCTGGTTTTATGCTCAAAGATCACTTCTGGGAATGCTCAGGGGACCATATGTGATACCAGGGATGGATCTGGGTCATCCTCATGTAAGGGCAAGCTTCTTACCTGCTGCATGTTATCACTTCAGCCTTTACTCCTCTTTTTCTAACCTTTAATCTATCCTAAACAATTTGCCTCATTTCTAAGTTGAAAAATTCAAACCACTTCCACCATTACCATGCTTTCCAGGGCACTATCATCAGCTCACATCTGGTGTATTATTCTGAGGATAAGGAAATATTCTGTTAATGAAGCAAGAGCATTAGGAGGGTTATAGGAAGCTCAGGAGACTCAGAATAGAAGAGATGGAGTGATGTCAGACAGCATAAAAAGTCCTGGGGACTTTAGTCAGTTTTGACCAAGCCTCAAAGCACACAACTCTTCTAAATAGTCATGAACATTTTTCTCTCTCAAATGAATGATTTTTGGTGGCTATCATTAATTAGTTGCTTGAGTATATATGCTAATTCCATAATGCTACGGAATATATGTAATTATGAAAATATTAATGTATTAATGTGCTTTGTGTGTGTCACATATGGTTTTGTTCTATGTAACATAGCCAGAGAATAGAAGCAGAACCAGAGTCCAATCACAGGTCATGAAGTATGAACTCGATGAGCTATAGATTACTCTCCAAGGAGCCGTAGTCCCTTTATCCAATCTCATCTTGGACATTAACTTCCCAGACCCAGGAATCTAAAGTTCTCTTTGCTTCATGTCATGCAAAGTCCCAAGGAAATGAAACAGATATAAGATACATGATCATATTCCTTCAACTTCCCCAGCTTCTAGTTTGTTTTATTCCATCAAATATCCTCCTCTTACTCCTCTTTTTAACTTCTGACGTGCATTTCCAGCACTAGATCAAAAGAGTGTCTGGTTTTCTTCTACTATCCCCACACATAATAAGGAATAAACTGGAGCAATCAAAATCAACTTTACTGGTGGCCTCAGAGCTGACATATAACAGGGCATGAGCCTCAAAAAGTTGAACTGAGAGCCCTTGATTGAACTGCAACACTATCCAAAATTGAATTCGTGACCTCAGTAACTGCTGTAGTGATTGCTCTTTTATTCCAATCCTACCCAGAGCCGTGTGACATCAACCTGGATTGTTGCACTTGCCTCTCTGAAAGGATTTCAGGGCAGGACCCAGGAGCGAGAAAGATTCATTTTGTCAGGAGGTAGTTATCACCTCTGTGCAGAGTAGTTAGTGGGCGCTCTCTAAAGCAAGTCTCAGAATTTCGAATTCTCACTTGAGATCTACATTAGATTCAAGTAATACTCTGTCAAGTATAAAACAATCTATCCACACTTACATTAAAAGTAACTTTTTAAAAAATGCTTAAAAGTGCGAAGACTCAGAAGACCACATTAATGCCTTGTCATGTCATGGCTTGATCTGCAGTGGTCATCAGCCTTGACAAAAATTATAGATACAACTGTTGAGTCATCACTATGGGACCAATAACAGATACAGTCTGGCCATGAATATCTAGCCTTAAATCACCAACTATGCTACAGTATTCATTGATTTCTGGGATATTAGGGCCTCTGAATAAGTTCCAACTTTCAAGTAAAATAAGAATCTTATAGAATATTCTTACCACACCATGGATATTACTCAGTGTTGGTACACTTGCCTTGCACATGTGTGACACTAGATTTTATCCTCAGTACAAAAAGATCCCTGAGCACTTCTAGAAGTGACCCCCAAGCACTGAGTAGGGGATAAACCCATACTCCCAGCAGGTCTACCTTCCCCTTTAAAAATAAAGATCTAAGATAATTGCCAAGAAATTGACTGAAATTTGGAATCGATTTATATATTTAAAACTTTTTCCTATCTAAATTCTCTATTTCCTACATCTTAAGAAAAGATGCTTTTTGTTTTAACAAAACTAAATCATCAGTGTTTTAAAACTATATGAGGTGGAAAACTGTGTAACTTCTCAGTGAAAATTTTTTTATTTCAGATTAACTGGATGGATGTCAATATTGATCTAGAATACGCAATGTAATTTTTAATGATTTCATTGTTGATAAAGGGGTTCATATTCCTATATTGTGGCATCAAGATTTAGCAGACTAAGTAAATTCCCTATGCTTAGAGGAAATAGAATTTACAAAGAGTAACATACAAGCTCTTAAATGAGAAAATGGTGTGGGGAGCGGTGGGGAGGAGGCAATGATTTGTTTGTCATTTGAGATGGAGCTAAAGGGGAGGATTGGTATTGTTTAATCTGAGTCAAATAGCAGAAAGTCTGAATTGAAACGCAGCTCATTTGATTTTATTACCAAGTACACTTGGAAATTATTAGGTCTGTCTCTTTTTACTCGTGCCTGCTGCTCTGCTTTTGGTCATTAGATTATTTGATTTGACACCCACCACACAAAAAGGTTGTTCCTTTTGCTCTATCTATCCGGGCTGATATGAGGAATGAAGGAGGGAGAAAAATTGCACAGCTGGTAGTACAGTGAACCCAAAAATATACAGGAACATACCAGAGGGAATAGTCATCAACACGAAGTGAACAAGCACCCAGACTATTGATTACATGCTGCTCACAGAACACCAGGCGTTTCTGCCAACTCCTTTCTACTCATACACTGAACTGCAGACAGCATGTTGTACCTTGCATCATCAGTTTTGATGAATAATGCACTGATAAGCACTGCAGCCAGTATTCCGGGGGAGCTGGGAAGCCAGATGTCATCTGGACCTCCAATAGTTTGAACCCTGGGTCTCTGACAGGCACGGATACGAATATGACAAGGCAAGCACTGCAGAGTGGGCAATGCCACCGCGAGCTCCTGGGGAACATGATGGCATTTTGGAAAATGAGCAAGAATTGTCACAAACAGGAGGGAGCAGGCCATGCTTATAGAGCATTCTTTACCAAGTTAGCAACGGGATCCTTCATTTCAGATTGGTTAGGAATCTCATACATGTGCACGCATACACAATAAAGGGGCTTTTGAGGAAAAATCATTGTTCAAGGGCTTAAATCCATGTGGCTGCAAACAGGCCATCATGACAAACAGATGGAAAGTGTCCCCTCCACGACAGAATTTAGACAGCAGCTATGACAGATTTGAGTGTCACTCTAGTGGGAGGGTTCATAAGATCCGACCGACTCCCCGTGCACTGCACGCTTGAAGCATTCCAGCAGGAGTGCTGTACAGATCATGTTTTAATTCCATCATTACAGGTAAATGTTCAAAAAGATCAATTAGACACAAGCTTTCTTCTGCCCGCTAACTGCAGACCTACCACACGTTGTTTTATGAGTGAAACCTGGAGTTGGAGCAACAATTGTCTTTGCTCTATTTAATTCTTCACCTAGACAACAGATTTTTCTGACCCTAAATTCAACAATGGGCTCTTGCTCCATCCTTAATGGCAGTCACCTTCTGCGCTCAACTCCCTTTAGACCTTGCTCACTGCCATCCTGGTTTTCTCTCTACCTGCTGCTCCCTCTTGGCCTCTGTCACACACTTATCTGCCAGCCTGACCTCCTCCCTGGTCCTCTCCGCCTCTCTCACCAAACTGTCAATGTCAAACACTGATATCTGCAAACCTACTTTCAGAGCTGGACAGATTCAACTTTAAATCTCCAACATCTGGGTTGATTTAAGCCACAAGCAACACTCAAGTGACTACTCTGAAACTGTCTCCTTTGAAGAAAGACAAATTGTGGTTAAACAATAGCCCAATTTGAAGCTTGCCCTTTCTATACATTCTAACCCAGAGCATCAGACTGAATCATTTAGGCCAAGGATCAGAAGGAAACAGGGAATTGCCATTGCCTGGAATGCAGACCAAAAAGATGCCATGGCTGAGTAGGCTTCCTAAAGCCTGCATTAAAACTACCATTCCAGTCTCAGCTCTAGCATTATTACAACAGACAAAACTAAGGTTGTATCAAACAATCTTCTAAGATCCCAAAAGAAGCCTATGAAGTACAAAAGAATTCATTTTGAGTTCACAAATATGTGATTGTCTATAATCAAGTATCATTTTAGGTAATATTGGTTTGGAATAGAGCATCTCAGTGTGGCAAGATGTTCTCCCTAAAGGTGAACTGATCATCACCACATCCTCACTTCCTGCCCGAGTACAGGGTGGAGATGAATTCACCTGAACTCATTAATATGGGTTATTGTATATTTTCCTCATTACTATAAAAAAATTCAAGCACAAGCATATAAATAATGATGTTTTGAATATTTATATAAACTTTATTGTTTGTAAATGTTAATTCTGGCATATTTGATTCACTTCTTTGGAGGGGATTTATTTTATTTTATTTGTTATTGAATTACCATAAGATATGGTTACAAAGCTGTTCATGGTCAGGTTTCAGTCATAGAATGTTCCAACACCCATGCTTCCACCTGTATACATTCCCCACACCAATTTTCCCAGTTTCCTTCCTGCCATCCTTACCCCATCAGCCTGCCTCTATGACAGGCACTTTTCTTCTTTCTTTCTCTCTTTCCTTTAGAGCATTATGATTTGCAATATAGATGCTGAGAGATTATCCTGTTTGTTTCTTTACCTACTTTGAGCACCCAATTCTTATCCAGAGTAATCATTTCTAACTATTATTGTCATATTGGTCCCTTCTCTATCCCAAATGCCTTCTCCCCTTGCACTTAAAGTAGGCTTTCAATCATGGACCAAACCTCCTGGCCCTTGTTTCTATCGTCATTGAGTATTTGTCTCATACTGTTTTTTTATAAGGGGATTTATTTTAAAGTAAATAAATCCATCCCTCCCAAATGTCATTGATCATTTCTTTCCAAAGACTGTGCTTTTCTAACAGCCCAATATTATTATCATACCGAAATTATTTATATTTAATGCAATTTAGTATCATCCAGTAACTAGTTTATAATATAATTTTCTGTGGCAGCCTTTCTCCTGAGTTTTGGACAATATGAACAATGCTCAGGGTTACTCTGGACTCTGTGCTTGGGTATTGGTCCCACAAGTGGTCGGAGTACCAAGCAGGGATCAAATAAGGGCCTTCTGCCTGCAAGGCTTGTGTTAAGCATATTAAATATCTCTCTAGCCCCAGTGACTCTGATTTTCCAGTGCTGGAATGGCAGGCTTTGGATTCTCTGGTGGGTTTGTATACATCGTCAGTGTTCAAATGAAATCAGTCCTTCCCTACAGATGCATTCACTCCAGCGTGAAAAAACAGACCTATTCATGCATTTCCTTGGTATGTTGGCCATAGTCCAGGGCAGGAATGGATTGAAGGATCTTTTAGGTGGTAGACTGGCATCAAAATTTTGGAGGTGGGATTGATTAATCTTATACACAGGTGGAAGTATGAAACTATACTCTTAAAATTTTATATTACTTCAAATGAATTATAGACCAATAAAAAGGACAAAACCAAAAAAGCACCAGTCAGGATAGGATTAGAGTAAGGACATTTTATGATTCTGATGTTTACTAATATCAATTTTGCTGGAGGAGTGCAGTCAAGTTTTCCATAGAGAGACAAATAGCTATTTAACCAGAGAGATAATGGATAGGACTTTCTAAGAGCTCACAAAACCTACCCTCTTGTTACCCTTCCTTGGTCCTTGCATTGCTAGAAAATCATTCCTTTGATTTGCCACATTTCTTCTATATGCAATATGAAAATTTGGAAGTCAATGAATAAACAAGAAACTTGGAAATGTATCAACACTGTTTCCTGTTAACTTGCTGGACTTGCAGGTTAAAGCACAACCTATATGTCAGAAAGCAATGAAGGTGTCTTTTGTTATTTGTCCCAAGAGGTGCTCAATATGCTGCTATGGAAATTAACGTGCAGGGTGCATAGTTCTTAAATAGAGGCTGAGAATACCTCTATGAGGTAATTCCTGGGTCCAAACTACAATCTTGGAGAGTTTAAGAGTAGCTTTAGAGGTGTTAGGGAGACAGAGGTGTGAGGTGGGGGGTACACAGAATGGACACATTCTGTGACACATCCTATACAAAGACAGGATAGAAGTGAGGCATCAGTCAGTCAGCCACAATACGCTAGGGTTTATATAGGTTTGAGAAGTGCAGTCCATCAACATTCTCCAAGTTGATTTTCTGATTTTTCTCTAAAACTTTAACAAAGTTTCATTTTTTAAAGTGTAGCCAGGGGATATAGGGAAAGATGCCAGGATGGAAGCATCTACCAAAAACTACTAATAAAAAGGAGAAATTAATCTTCATTGAAACAAAGTAGTACAGTGCCAAAGCCTATAATGTGAAATGTCCCTGTCAAATACTATGCCAAATATAGAGTTTCATCAGATTAATTAAGAATGATCACTTTCTTATACACAAACCAAGTAAAACTTTGCAATTAGAGATTGATCTAGAAGGTCTAGGGTCTACCCAATAGCTGTGTCATGGAACTGTAGGATGAACATACTAAAGTGAACTGATTTTGTGATCATTTTGATTGTTTGCAATTAGGGCACTTCACCATGTGAAGTGAAACATGATGAGCCAGCATGATAGGGTGAGATCTTTTAGAAACCTGAGATCTATCTGGAAAAGGAAGTGAAAGTGATTGGTTTTTAATCCTGGTCTTTCAACACTGAGTTCCTAACATATCAGATAAAATGGAGAAGAAATACTATTATGAAGAACGTTTTTATGCTGGGGTGTTAACACAGATTCAAGCCCAAGCCCAGTGAGTTACTTGGCCAGCTTGGAGAACTGATATGGGTGTGTGGAGTGAGAGTTAATGTTCCTTCTACTATCGACAATTGGGGCTCCAGAAAACTAAAGGTGTTCTCTTGTGTCTACTTCGGCACATACAAAAAAGAGACAGATGAACCTGGCCAGAACTCCCTCTGGGAAGCTTCAAGACAGAAGTTTTTAAAACCAGAAAAGAGCCTTGCTCTTCAACGCCCCTTTTCTCCCTTGAATATGCATTTCCTTTCCTTTTCCCCATTTACATCTAACTAAGTTTCATACAATAATTTGCTTCAATAAAATTAAACCTGAAAAGGTCAGGAC